GACAAGAAGGGACATGGTTTTCTCTAGGTCTTCAAGAAACTCCGGCTTCGTCGTCGCCTTGGGACCCAACTTGGTTTGCGCAAATTTCAATGCAACTGAAATATCACGGTCGGGACTGGTATTACAGTTTCGAATCAATTCCACCAGTTGCAGGCGCAACAGTGCAAATAACAATGAGTCGTCATTATCTAGAATCTTTTAAACAGTTAGTCTACGAACACTGGGAAATAACAGTGGTCGGAATATGGGTCATGTTATGTGCTCATAGAAAAGTGGTTGTTTCTCATCAGGGATCCGAAGACCAATATGAGTGGTGCATGAAAAACTCGTGTTCTAATCATAGCAATATAGACGAAACAGGGAAAGGAGGTAACCTACCGATGGGTATACTTGATTCAACTCCTGTATGGCATTTTCAATTTCTCCTCTATGTATAAATTTCTGGATCTTCAGCCGCTGCTGGATCGAAGACATGGGTTGTTGAGGCTGCAGGTTAGCCTCCGATGAGAACTTGGCCGCTGCGTTAGGATATCCGGCAACGGTGAGGTAGTCGAGGATGAGCGCATTGATATCGCTTTAGCAACTGCATATTAGCAGTGTGCTCTCGTATGAAAGCGTGCAGTAGGTAAACAAAGTAGATGGCAGACTTGGATCAGAATAAAAGAAGATAAAAATCGATCTCCGCACGGAGTACTCAGAGAGATTCCCATTGATTATGTGTTACATCATGACAAGCAAAAAAAAAAAATTGTTCAAAAGGAGTCGGTCCGTATTTACCTCTTTGGTGTCTTGACTTCTTCGACTTGCCGTGTGAAGGCATACTTCACGGGAGTGGCAGTGGATGTTGACGAAGTCTGCCGAGAGAAAAGTCAGTCCTATCGACAAGCATCAAGGCCGAGCTTAGGTAACCAAAATTGACGCACCATCATGTCAACCAAGGAGACGAGTTGTGATGAAGAGAACATCCAGTAGTAGCCGGCTGTATAAGAAGGCAAGTGAAAAATGCAGGTTGTAGTCTAGATTGTCGAGGAGGGGATCTCGACTTTGGTGTATAGCCTGGTTTTTTTCCCCTCGAGGCTGATGAAGAATGCAGGATGCAGGAGGAAAAGACGAAGCTTGCTAGGTACATATAGTTGTGGGAAGAAAGAACACACCTCTGCATCTTCTGGTCCAAGCTCCTTGCATGTGGCTTTGCCTTTGTACATATTAGTGTAGGTACATACAGGTACTTAAGTATGTATAGTAGGGTAGTATTTTAGGCCATCAACCCTGTCCAGGTACCCATGTCCGCTGAGGTAGTGCATACCTACCCTAACTGACGTACTGCACCTTATTAGATCTAGGTAGATATAAATGAGCTAAAAGCGAAAACCAGTCGCTAAGCGCTGTTAGGAATCGAACCCAACTCACTATTTAGTTAGACGGTAGGTGATATACCTACACTACCTTGGTAGATACTTACTTTAGTCGTATAGTGTACCTAAGCTACATGTAGGTTCCTAAATACATGTATGTATTCAGGTGCATCGCTAGGGTACTGATTGAAGATATAGTAGGCAGCAGGCGGGTGGGTGTGTCTACAAGGGGCTTCAGCTGTGGCTGTGCTTTCCTACTAGTACCTATCAGACCTTGAAGTTCGGCCAATCACAGTCAAGGTCCTATCCAGTGTAACAAGATCTTTTTCTCTCAACTCCCTAAACTAGGCTAAATTATCAAATAATCCAAATCTTGACTGATTCGGTACAAATTAATGAGGCATAAGCCCTCCTTTCTCTCTTTAATTTCCTTGGATACGTTATGCTACTCGTACGGTGGATAGCATCCCTTCCTTAAAACCCGTCCGTTTCAAGGCTTTCTTCCCCTTCACATCTCTCCTTGATCCTGTCAGCTCACATACTTAGTTCGCTCCAGCTGTCTTGGCGAGCATGTGATATCTGACATCCTCACATGTACTATCTAGATACACCTTCACCGTCGATCAGGTATACTGCCGAACAGGACATCAAGGTTTACAAATCCCTATTGCATATTTTGAATCATTCATGTTTCCGGTTTGAATTATATACAGCATTGGTGTCAAGCAGTATCTAGCAATGAATACTGGCAATCACTCACTCGCCCACGTGGCCGACAAGAGTGCTGCCACCATAACCAAACGTGCGCATTATAACCCGCCATGGGCCGATCTCAGTATTATCGGCATTGCTGGGAGCTCTGGCTCAGGCAAATCAACCCTCTCCCACGCTATCGTAAATAAGTTGAATTTACCGTGGGTAGTGATCTTATCAATGGTTGGTTACGTATTGCAAGGCTGCGACAGATTCTAGTGGTGCTAACCTATGACAGGACTCGTATTATAAGCCACTAGGACCCGAAGCGTCCAAGAAAGCGTTCATGAATGAATATGACTTTGATTCACCCGATGTAAATATGCTATTCCGTGTCAAACACCCTGTTCGTTATTGATGTAGCCTCTCACAGGCCATTGATTTCGACGCATTGCTCGAAACCCTCCAAGATCTAAAGGCTGGGTAGGTACAATTACTGGTGATTGACGATGAGATATCCTCAGCTCCATATCATGTGGCAAGTACTAAGCCGACACCTAGTAAACGTGCCGAGGTTCCAGTGTACTCTTTCGAGAAGCATCAGCGAATGGAAGAAACGACGACTATTTACTCTCCCCATGTTCTCATCCTAGAAGGCATATTTGCGCTATATGATCCGAGGGTAATGAACCTTATGGATATGAGAGTGAGTATAGGGCAATATATACTTGGTCGCAGCAATGGTGTTGATCCGATGGCAGATCTACTGTGAGGCAGACGCAGATACCTGCCTTTCTAGAAGAAGTCAGTATTCGTACGGCGACCAGCACTAGATGATCATATTAACATGCTGCTCCTGTAGTCTTGCGCGATGTTAGAGATCGTGGCCGAACCGTCGAGGGTTGTATCAAGCAATGGTTTGGGTTCGTAAAGCCGAATTACGAGAAGGCATGCAATGTCCCACCCAGATTCGACTGCTCACCCAGCTGACTCAATCGTGCAGTACGTTGTACCCCAGAGGAACCATGCCGGTATGTAGTAGACACATGACATCCTTTACATTGATGCGTACTAAAATATATACTCTAGATATCATCGTGCCTAGAGGGATTGAGAACCGAGTCGCCATGAGTAAGCTGATGTAGTATCCAAAGGACGAAATATCACTAATACCGTAAAGCCATGGTGACTCAGTACATCGAGAGAAAGCTTTTAGAAAAGTCTACACATCACCGTGCAGCACTGAAGAGCTTGGAAGCTGGTTTCGAAAGCGAACCTCTTTCAAAGCGGGTTGTGATCCTCCAGGAGACGCCCCAGCTCCGCGGCATGAACACTCTGATCCAGGATATTGACACCTCTAGCGAAGACTTTATCTTCTATTTCGACAGATTTTCCTGCCTTCTAATTGAGCAGTAAGTGGTCACTAGGTTTCTCACGGCACATCAAGGAGGGACTAAAAATAAGGATAGGGCCTTGAACAACGTTCACTTCAAAGAGTTGACTGTTGAGACTTCAGCTGGAATACCATATCGCGGCCTAGCTCCTAAGGGCGAGGTCAGTGCCGTGTTGGTACTTAGAGGTGGAGCTACATTTGAAGCAGGGCTAAGAAGAGTGATCCCGGATTGTCGCACTGGACGGCTCTTGATCCAATCCAACGTGAGGACGGGGGAACCAGAACTACACTACTTAAAGTTGCCCAAAGATATTAGCAAACATGAAAGCGTGTTGCTCCTCGACTCGCAGATGTCGAGTGGTGGCTCTGGTCTAATGGCCGTTCAAGTCTTAGTCGACCATGGTGTGCCGCAAGACCGCATCGTCTTTGCCACATATTCCGCTGGGCGCGTTGGTTTGCATCGTCTGACGAAAGTGTTTCCAGAAATCGCAGTGGTGGTTGGAAATATGGTATCAGATATTGAAGAGAGATGGGTCGAGAACAGATATTTCCGCTGCTAACCGTCCGGGTCAGCTGTCCACTACGAACTATAGAGTACATACTAAACGCCTCATACAAATTACCTAGGTAGGTATGTAGGTCAACAATCTGCATTTCAGATCTAGTAGCATAGCGTTCCAGTTTCTATCATAGACGGTACGTCTCACTAGTGTCCCGGCTCCCGTATAATACGCTGCCATCTTAGCGGCTTCTCAGACCTAAGGCCCAAATGTCGTTTTGGATAATACAAAGGGAGTCGATCCACAGATACCATATATGCAAGTATCTAGCACCGCGAGTAACGCTCCCAGGAGTGTTCGATGTTGATGCTATGTTTATTTCTTACTGCTAGCTCTCAATATGATGCCTGAAGTGGTTGACATAAACCCTAGCAGTGGCTTAATACGGCATGCGAGGCGACTTAGTCACAGCCAGAATGCCCGAGCCGCGGATTCGGTAACGAAAACCAATTACACGGTGTAGAATACCACTCGTCCAAGTTTCCAGCCGACAAGGAGGGTGGGTTTTACCTACAAGCCGTAAGCCGATCTCCAACACAACTCAAGCTCTCGCCGGAAGCGGCCCGGGGTGCCATATATCTCGCAAAGCCAGATTAGCTAACAATATTGTCTTTCCATCTTACAGTGCAAGTTATCATTATGCTGCCGCTTGCCGACCCGGTGTGGTAAATTCCGTCGCTCTCGGACCTTGCTAACCATAATGGCCTGCGGGCTCAATGGATAGGCCCAAGTGTAAATGAAGCGAAGTGATGCAAGTATGGCTGAATCATGTCTATATGGACTGATAACTTGCGTGAAGCTAAGCAGTGACCAAAGCCCTAAACCAAAGCTTATACACAATAACACCAACGTAATAATTCCATGCATGGTGCTATATATTTCAGGGAATCTACAACGACAAGAGAGAAAGACGGGAGGAGAAGGGGAGGGGGAGGATGGGAAAAGTAAAACAGAAGGAGAAGGAGGAGGAGGATGAGAAAGAAATGGGAAAAAGAAGACCACCGAATAGGAGACTCGAACTCCTGGCTCAGGATAATCACTCTAGATTGAGAATCCCGCATGTTAACCCCTACACCAATTCGGTTTGCACGACACCTCGAGGAACAGGATTAAATACGCCAAGGGGGGGGGCTCTAGGTATGGAAAGAGGTAGGTAGGTAGAGGAGAAGTTACCGGATTCGAAGGAAGGTGTTGCTGTTTCCATGTTCTGAATGTCACACCTTCCAGACTGGAACAAAGAAGGTGTTGTGTACATAAGCGTTAGGTGTGTATCAGTTGGTGATAGATCTAGGTAGACTCCCCGCGTAGCAACGAATGTTTATCATCCCCTATGCTTGGGTCATGACACTGAGTACCGGGATAAGTACCCACCCACGCAATATATGTGCTTTAGTTACCTTCTACCAGCGGTACATTTGCACCTAAGCAAGTCATAATAATCTACCTGCCCGCTTACATGTAGGTATAATCAAGTTTCTGTGGATAAATTATAGGGATCTTGAGCCAATCGACTCCGGTCATCCACCAGGTGAGTAAGGCATATATCCAGTCATGCGGAATTCTCAAGTATATACAACAAAACCTTTGCGTATAGGCACTCGGACAAACTCGAACAATGATACTAAATCACGTTTCCAAAACCAAGACATCGGTCAATTGCTGTCTCGTCTTAGATATGTAAATTGATATTGAATCGGAAGGATTGATTATAGCCCTCCGGATGAGCTGAGGTGGTCTTACAGCATCGTATACTCTGCCTTGTCTGGTTAGCCAAGTATATATACATCCGTCCTATCCAACTTCGTCCTTCGCCACACCGCCCGAGGATAGTCGGTCCCAACCCTTCAATGATATTACAACCTTCACAATACTCACCATCAGTAACTGCGTTTTCATCTAAGACTGAAGCTAAATAACTTTGGTTGTCGCTCACCTAGCTCTAATCGAGCTATAGATGGGCCAATATGATTAGTTGAGGCACGAACATAGAGACTATGAAAAGTCGAAGCAAGGCCTTGTCGATGTCATTCCAAGTGAGTTGCTATGAAAGGTCGGGTCGCCCCGCGCCATTGACTCGAACCATTCGTTATGTAAGTCGTCAGGCAGCATTTCCAAAAAGGAGTCAAAATCACTGATGTCACTCTGTTGGGCGTTTGAGGACGCTGTTGCTGGAATCGTGGGCTCTAGGTTAGTTTGACTGGGTTCAGGATTCATATGTATTATATCCATACCATCGAAGTTAGGCGAAGTCTGACTCCCAGATGGTATCCAGCTCAGCATCTGCGTTTGTGTCTGGTGATGTTGATGCTGCTGCTGCTGCTCTGCATGCTGCGTATCTCGCACGCGCTGAGCTCGAGCAATGAGCTGGCCGATAGGCTTGACAAAATCATCTCCTCTTTCCGTGCTATCCCGAACTTTGACAAGCAACCATGCACGGTAGATTTTTGTCGCGTATTCCCAAGCTTCATCGCATTGCGGAGACGGTGGGCGAATACAAACCTCGAACAAAGCGAGAGCTAATGTGTGCCATTGAACGTAAGTTTGCAAGTGCCATACAAATTGGTTGAGGCGAGTCTCCTGCATTATGTCATGCGTCCTTTTCAGTATATTGATCGCATTGGCGAAAATATCATCCCGCAAGGTCTTGTTATCTAGTTCGACCTCTAGCCCCTCAATATTTCTATCAGCATTGCTGGTATGAGAGGCGTTGGTATCTCTTTTTTGTTTTCTAGTCCTCAGCTCAGAATAGTACAAAATCGCCCGGACTCGCCCCGCGGCTATGTAAGATATCTCTTTTGCGAGATAAAGTAGCGGTTGAGCTGGGTCGCAGCGCCCTACATACTGTTCGACCCATCTGTCATGCTCGTCGAGAAGCTTGACACGAGCTTGAAATGAGGAACGACTTGCCCTAGGTGCAGAGTTAGCCTAACATTATCCGAGTGTAGTAAATGCGCTCATATGGACGGGTTTTACTGAGATGAACTAGAATAGCGTAGCATCGTGAGATAGAGAACTTGAAATGAATGCAAAGAGTGTAGGGAGGGACAAGGATCGAAGCTATTCACCGTTTCATTTTCCAATTGATTTGCAGTGCATGACATCGAACGTGGACAAGTGTCATGTCGGTAGCACCATCGCTCTCAGGTGGCAACTCAGCCATATCACTAGAAAGATCGGAATCATTCACATTGAGAGGCCAGCGAGTGTCGAAAGCCGTCTCATCGGCCACGATAGGCTCGTAACCGTGATATTCAGTAGAGCGATGGTCAAGCAAACAGACTTGATGCCATATGCGCCGACGCATCTCCGTTTCAAAGGGTGGAAGGTTGAATACCGTCCCATCTCGGTGCAACCCCATTGAACGTGCTACATGGGATGCGAGGGCGATGAGTGACCATACCGTCCGTGTGCCGTCATCAGAGCGCAACACCGAGATATATAGTATAGCTGCCTGCAAGAGTAATGTGCTGTGTGTATCCAGGAAGTTAGCGCGAGCCAGCGCTTGCTCTGCTGCAAACCTGTATCGCTCGACTACAGCGGATCGTGGCGTTCCCACAATATTGACACATTGAGTTGGATCTGTGCTGATGACAGCCGCATAGTAGATGGCAAATAGTAGTGCCTCGGTTTCTTTGTCAAGGGAGTCCGTTTTAACAACAGCACCCCAGAATAGACGTATTAGTGTTGGTGTATGGAAAATGCGGACCACTGGTAAGACGTTGTCATTGAATAATTGAAAAAGTTTCATAGATAACTCGACAGAAGGATGAAAGTCTCGCAGAGAATGAGTAAGGGATCGGTACCCTAGTATAGCTGCATTTGTGCCCAAAGACTGAGTTGGAGATTCTGCATCGTACGGCGAGTTTCTGTCGTCGATAGATTCTTCGTCTTTTGGGGTAGAATCAAGAAACATCCCACGTAGTTGTTCGATCTCTACGATGTTAGTTTGAAACCTCAATTAAGAGCAGTAAGATCTGAAAGACTAACCGACTCGGTCAGGTCCGCCCACATCACGTTACTAACATAACGACTTTGAGATTCTTCAACAACGAGACGGCCTAGTTCTGGGGCCGCTTCAGTCTCTTGACCCGCATCGTCAACGAGACTCCTACTCTCCCGAGTCTGGGAGCCTATCGGCAATGCATGATGCGATATAGATTCCGAGACTATATGAGAGTCCGCTTCACGGCCTTTTGCTTGTTGCTGTAGGCGCCTAATAGTTTTTTCCAGCTGGGAAAGTCGATCTAGCACTTTGGCGTCCACAGCTGGACGTGGCCGTTTAGCTGCCCTACCAGCACCGGGCGGGTGGACGCAGTTGGCCCCAGCTCGTATACAGTTGGAGCACGGTTGGCGCCGGTCACATTTGACCTTGCGTTGTCTACACAAAACACAGCTTCGAAGATGTGTGGGTTGTGCTAGCTGTGCAGCCTCAGAATTGGTTGTAGTAGCCGTCTCATCCCGTCGCGCCCCAGCTGCTGTGTTATCTTCAGGCGAGTGGGCCATATTAGAGTTGCAAACCCACGAATACCATGTCACCAGCTCTCATAGTGTATACTGGTAAACAACCTATTGTGAGTCAGAGCCTCATCTTACTTATACGCCTCATCCTGCATAAGATCCTGGAGAACTGGAACCAACCGTCCAGGTATAAGGCACCAACCATTGTTCGAGGTTGTAACGCTTCACTATAGGCATACGCTTACAAACCCACTTCCAATACGTCATTTAAGCACCACGGCTCGTAAACGAGAACTGCCTTCTTATTATAGATAAACAATATTGGGGGGAGACAAGATGGAATTTGTTCAGAAAGCACGAAAAGGGAATTAGAATTAGTTCACTGAATAATCAGGCTGCAGCCCAGCCTGCGATTTCTTCCATGAAATCTCGTGAGAAGATAGGTTTCAGTATGAGCATAACGAGGGCGGGCTTGATATGGGTTAGGTACCTAAACTATCTCGGAGATACTCTTCGCACGGTATAGGCCGAGCACCGAGAAGTCGGTGATAGAAAAGTAAGCCCGAATAGGTACCTACCTTAGCACAAAACATTTGGCTTCAATTTCACTATTTCTGACTCTCAATTGAGAGACGGGATTGGAATTGTAAAGTTGTATTTGTTATGGCTTCAGAAATTAATATAGTTGGGTAGATACCTCCCATCCCAGCTACAAAAAGTACCTGGTAACCAACCACATCTGTAGATACATGTACCTAAAACCCAACACCCTAACGTCATACCATATATACTGAACGGGAACCAATCAAAACTTGCAAAGCACTTCGATCTCGAAAACCACCCACCGCATCATTGTAACCGAGGATTATACCTAGAAGCAATAATCTCAGCAAGCACATATCATGATAGTAATAAGAGGAAGAAGACCAATACCTCTAATCCCAAGACTTACATATAAACCAACGTGGCTGCCATATGTCTCGCGCAGCATAATGAGTACAAACGGTGCTTCTCAGCGACCCGAAGGTCCTATTCACTTTGGGCCTTTCGATGTTACGACCCAGGTACGCACGATACAGAGCGTTCGGTTATAATAATGCATACAGACTCACGTGTGTAACTTAGGTTTTCATGACAACACCCCTTTCCTTCGCATTAGTGAACCTAAAGCCGCTACTACCGGGCCACGTCCTTGTGTGTCCACGCGCGCCTCACAAGCGACTAACCGAGCTGTCAGTAACAGAGCTTACGGACCTCTTCAGTTCTGTGCAGCGGGTGCAGCGGATGCTAGCGCGGTACTACTTCTCTCAGTCAGATTCAAAGCAGGCAGATACGGGAGCGGAAAACTCGTTAGGAGAAACATCGGCACTACCACCGCCTCCCGAAGCAGGTTCCTTCAACATTGCAGTCCAAGATGGCGCCGAAGCGGGACAGACCGTCTCGCACGTCCATGTTCATGTGATCCCGCGAATCCGAGGCTCAACGGCTAAGGAGTCGCACACACAGGGCGACGCCATTTACGAGTTAATGGCGGCTGAGGCCGGGAATGTTGGCGGTGCACTCTGGGATAAGGTTATGAGGAGTCGGCCTCAGCCCGGCGGCGGTTTTCCGCGAGTGGAGGATCCG